TAATGTACAGATGAAAATAAAATTGGATTTTTGACAATAATTGAGCAATAATTATTAAAATTAAATAAATTACCGTATTTTCTCGATTAATTCCCCTGGGGAATTATTTTTTCGACCCTTCCTTGGCACGGGGAATTAATCGAGGGAGGGGAATTATTCGAGTTTTGGCATTTGATGTGCAGTAGGGTATTTGGTGGTGGGGAATTATTGTTTCATCACAACACTAGCATGGGGATTTAATCGAGAGGAGGAATTATTCGAAGGAGGGGAATTAATCGAGAAAATAATTTAAACAAAAAATTAATTTTTATAAAAATTCAAATTTTCCATTTCTTTTATTATTTATTTAATTATATTAAATTATTAATTTATTTAACTTCAATTACTTATTAAATTTTCCACAAAAATTTTATTGAAAAATTTTTAAAAATTAAAAAAATTTTTACAGGCAATCCACACCAAAAAGAATTTCTAATTGAAAAAAATATTAAATTTATTCAACAACTCAATTTTGTCGCCAAGAAATAATTTTGATAATTTTTTTCTACATAAATTCTACATTTGTTTGGTTTTAATTATTAAAAATATTTATTTAAAAAAGAATGTTACAATAAATTTTACAATTTTTGATTTTAATTTTTTCTTTGTTATTTAAATTTTTTGTCTGAATAAATTATTTAAATTAAAAATTTGTTTCTTTTATAAACATTTTTTGTTAAAAAAATAAAAGAAATATTATTCTTTTATTTATTTTAACATGCAAAAATTGTTTTATTTAAGGAAAATAAAAATCTAAAAAATAATAAATTGATTTTAAATTTAATAAATATTTTTATATTTAATTTAATTTAATTATTACTCAAACCAAAAAATATTTTTTAAATTATTTAAGTGCCATTTAGAATTAATTTCAAAAAATTTTTAAAAATAAAAGTGAAATTTATTAATGATTCAGAAAACATATTATTTTTGTTTTTAGAGTAAAGGTGATTCAGAGAAATAAAATTGAATGGCACAAACTTAACTATTTAAAGAAATGGTTGTCAAAAATTATTTAATCGCTGATTTTTTTAAATAAATTTACCTTGCTATTTCTACCGTTGATTAGTTAACGATATCTACGTTAGTAGAAGTGAAAATTAATAATCCTAGAATATTAAATTTTTTTTAATATTGGAATTTTTTTAATATTTTAATTCTTTTAGTATTTTTATTTAAATAAGTAATTAAGATTAATTAAAAATTGAAAAAAATGTTTATTAAATCAACAATTATATACTTAACTTTATTTATCCTCTTAATAAATGCTAATAATGAGGACCAAATAAAATCAGTCTCTGCTGATAATGAAATTTCTACTAAAGAATTGCTTCCAAAACTTGGTTTAATTTTAATTTTAATATTTAACTAAAAGGGATATTGTAAAACCTATATTACAATACTATGTTTTTCTGTATTTTTTATGGAACTTGTTCAAAATAACTTTATGGAACTTGTTTCTAAATTCTCCACGAAATTAGAAATTTTGTTGCCAGTCTAGTAATATGTTCCTACCTAAGTTCCATTTAAATAAAGTGTGACATTGTACATAATATAGGTTTATTTACATATTCAGGACTTTGGGGACTAAGGTTGGCGGATAGTTGGAAATCTTCGGATATCCGGATCCGGTATCCGATCCGAAAATTTCGGATATCCGGATCCGGATCCGGTATCCGAACCGAAAATTTCGGATATCCGGATCCGGAACCGATATCCGAACCGAAATTTTCGGATATCCGGATCCGGAACCGAAATTTTTATTTTAAAAATTTTCGCCTGCAGCGCTGAAAAGTTGAGTGTTAAGGAGGATATAAAGGGATTAGGAGCAATTATGATTGAATTTGGGGATTAACAGTGTTATCGAGGGAATTTATGCTTAACAGTTATCTAGGTGTAATCAATGTGTGGAAAATTTTGTAGTTTATCTGATGATTTGTGAGAATTTAGTGGATTTGGGGGAAGTAGTAGATACATCGGCTATTTCTATATTTTTGAATTTGGTAAATTGATAGCTGGGATCGTGGGATTAAGAGAATAATGAGATATTTTGAGGTAAATCCTCAGTTATCGTACAAACAAACCCCTTTTCTTCCTTTTTAAGCGCCGCAGGCGAAAATTTTGAGAAACATGGAGGTCCTTAAGTCAGAGTTCTTCCACTGACAGCGCCGCAGGCGAAAATTTTGGTAATTTTAGAAGGTAGTAGGCCAAAAAATTCACTTTTTAGCGCCGCAGGCGAAATTTTTTTGAAATTTTGGAAGCAACTGAAGCCAAATTTCTTCCATTTTCAGCGCCGCAGGCGAAAATCTTGGGAATTTTGGAAGATTAGACTACCAGATGTTCCTTTTCCAGCGCCGCAGGCAAAAATTTTGAGAATCTTGGAAGCCTGGGCTACCCGATTTGTTCATTTTCCAGCGCCGCAGGCGAAAATTTTGAGAAATTTGGAAGGCCATTGGGCAAGATTTTTTCCTTTTTCCCTAAATCTAGGATCCGAACCGAAATTTTCGGATATCCGGATCCGATATCCGAACCGAAAATTTCGGATATCCGGATCCGGATCCGATATCCGAACCGAAAATTTCGGATATCCGGATCCGGATCCGGTATCCGAACCGAAAATTTCCGGATATCCGGCCTTTTTTCGGATCCGGATATCCGGATCCGCCAACCTTATTGGGGACTACAACAACAACAACCACCAATCGGTTAGATAAAAAATTTTAAAAAATTATATTTTATTTTGTAAATTTAGGTGGAGAAAAATATTTTGTAAATTTTAGGTGGAGGACTAGGCCTAATTGGAAATGGATTACTTCCTCAACAACAACCTTTCAACCTTCCAAGTTTCCCACCACAACCAAATCCATTTATTAACAACTTTTATCAACCTCCTCCATTTAACAATTATTTTCTACGTTCTCCTTACTTTATTCCTCCACAAACCAATCCTTTCTATCCATACCAAAATTTTCCTTTATTTAATTCTGGAATTGGCACTTTTCCTCAATATCCTCCATATCAATCACAGTTTCCTCTGGGAGGTCCACAGTTGCCTTTGGGAGGTCTTCCTGGAGGTGAGTATTTTTATGAGTTGGAGGGATATTCAATAAAATTTTTTAAAAAGAAGATAATTATTTTTAAGAATACTTAAACTTTTTACAATAATATGTTAAAAACCAGCAAAAAACAAACAAGAAAACAAACATTTAATATTCATTTTTAAATTTCAGGACTTCCCAATCAACTTAATCCAGCAGGAATTGTGTAAGAAAAATAAAATACATATTAGAGGAGAAAATAAATAATTTCAATGATTTAAATTAATTAAAGTTAAAATTCTAAATAAAATATTTTTGAATAAAAGGAGGGAACACGCAAAAATTTTGGAGCCTGGGACCAAAATTTACGGTCACACAAAGCTATGAGATTATATATAGTTTATAGCTGGCCTATTAACATGTTTAAAAAAATAATTAAGAAAATAAAACCGTTTTTCTTAAATTTTTTTGAAAATTACAATGTTTCGTTTTGTTTCGTTTCGTTTCGCTAAATTTCTACTGTTTCATCTTGTTTCGTTAACGAAACGATTTTTAAAAAATTTTGTTTCGTTTCGTTTCGTCTGAAAAAATTTTGGAGTTTCGTGCATGTCTGCTCTGTATATCGCCTAAATATAGTAAATCCTTAATATCTAAATCAATATAGATCGACTCCTTTATTTCCACAACCATCTACTAAATAGCTGTCAATAAAAAAAAATAAAAAAAACATTTATTCGGTGAAGGTCATCCATTGTTGTTTGAATTATGTGCGGAAATATTTTTTGCTTTAATCCTTTTCTTTCTTTCATTCATATTCACACAGCTTTATATATAATTTATTTATGGGGTATTTTTTGGGGTATTTTAAAAAAGATTAATTTGATTAGATTTATTTTATTTAAACAAATTTATTAATTTATATAAAATTATTAATTAATTATTAATTAAACTAAATTATTAATTGTATATTTATTAATTTATATAAAAATTTAAATATGATTAAATATGTTTTTGGAGTTAATTTATTTAATAAAATTATTTTATTAATAATTATGTTGCTACTAGCAGGTTAGTATTTTAAATTTAAAAAATTTTAGTGCCAAATCTTATTTAATTAATTGATTATTAAGAGTAAATACCGTTAATCTGTATTAATTGCCCTCCCTCAAATAATTACTCAACTTCTATTATTTACCCCATCCAACGATAGATTGAAACAATAATTACCCCCCCCCCCCAACAAATACCCTAAAACACGTTCAAATTTCAAACCTCGTATAATTACCCTCTCTCTATTATAATAATTACTCCTCCCGGCGGAAGGTTGAAACAATAATCCATGGTAGTCTTGTTAAACAAATTTATTTTTGCATATTTTGAGAAATAAACTACCTAAGTAAAAATAAAAACCTTTAAATGTCAAGATTCATTCAATTTGAATATTTCTTAATTATTGTTACTAAAGGTTCGATGTTAGTTCATTTTCATTCATAAAATATACATCTAAGTAAAATATTATAATTTTTTAAAATTATTTATAAGATTTGGTATTTTCAACGGAAATTCCCTCATTGGCCACTTTAAAACTTCAAGAAGCAAATGCCAAAGTAGTAGAAAATAAGCCAAAAAAACGAGAAGATTCAATTCCGGTCATCGAAATAAGGGGGGAGGGAAAGCCCATGAGTGCTGCACAAATTAGGTATTTAATAAAAAATTTGTTTCAAGTTTTATTAATTAGTAAAAGAAAAATTAGAAAAAGAAAATCAAAATTTTAAACTAAAAAATAATTAATTATTTTGTAAAAATTAAATAGAATATTCAAAAATTAAAATTCTTATAAAAAATATTTAAAGGGAACTAGAAGAAATGTCTAATGGCGGACCGCTTGATATTAAGGTAATAGTAAGAGCGAGGTAAAAGTTTAATCCCGAGCAGGCTTCGATCTTGCGACCCCTTGGCAGTTATTGCTAGGTGCTTTCGCTCGTACAGGTGCTGCTTTCGTACAGGTGCTCTACCAACTGAGCTACCGGGACTTAGCTATCTCATTCAATAGATCTTAAACCCCCGCCTAGTGAGCGTTTTTAAATGCTAGTCAGCTGGATCTTTCTCTTCCTTACATAATTTAAACAAAAAAATTTTATTTCGAGATAAATATCACAAATAAATTTATTTTATTTTTAAAAATCAAAAGGTTTCAAAAACTTGGGTACCTGGAGATTGCCCCAGAAAAGCTCGACGTCTTGATTTTGTCACATTTCATTTCAAAGGCTTTTCTGAGGCTGGGAAAAAGTTTGATCAAAGTTATGGACGTGAAAAAGATGGAATTAAAATACAATTGGGTGTAGGGATGGTAAAAAATTGAAATAAAAATTAGTTTTAATTCATATATTAAGACAATGCCTGGTTTAGATAAAGGCATCAAAGGAATGTGTGATGGTGAACTTCGCAAAATTGAAGTTCCTTGGAGATTAAGCCGTAGAAGGAAGAGTAAAGGTAAATTAAAAATTTTAAATTAGGAATAGTATAATACAAAGTTATAATAATTTTAGGAAAAGCTAGGCCTAGGTCTGGACCAAAGCCTGGGTTTTTTCTGTACCCAGAGTCTAGGCCCAGGCATTTTTTGACCTTCCTGGGTTTTTCCTGGCCTGGGTTTTTCCTGGATTACAGACCTAGGAAATAAAAATTAAATCTAACTCAGGAACAGGCCTAGGCTTTTCAAATTACTGATCTTTACTGTCTTTAGCTCTTGTATTTATTATAGGAGTTGATTTAAACAAATGTATATTTTTTCAAAAAAAATATTGAGTGCCCTTTTAATAAAACAAAGAACCCTTAAATCTCAGTCTCACCAAAACTCTAATAAATATTAAAATTAGTTTGGAGGTTCATACCAAATGATGAACATTGGCTTCGTTTTGATGTTGAGGCAATAAAAATAGAGCCGTGGACTATAGAAGGGCAATTTGAATGGATGGATTTAAATAATGATAGTAAACTTACGGAAGACGAATTAACTCGTTTTGGATATAAAATGTTAAAAGAATTTGGAAAAGCATGGCCAAATGAAGATATAGACCCTGTACTTGCTTCTAAATATTATATAAAGTATATTTAATTATTTCTCTCAAAAATAATTTATTCAAAATATTCATAAAATATCTCATTTTTTAAAGATATTTTGATGCAAATAATGATGGGATTATTGATATATCTGAATTTAAATATATTTTTGAAAGAGATTTGTCTATAATGGAAAGTAAAAGGAAAAATAAAAATAAAATTGAAGGAAGAAAAAGAGATCCAGGACTTCAATGGATTTTAGATTTTAATAATGATGGAATTGTTTCTGTACAGGAAATGGATAATGCTGATAAGATTTTGGAAGGCAATCCGGCAATTTTGCCCGGGGAAAAGATAAAAGAAGAATTATAAATAAAAAATTAATTGTTTTAATAATTAAATTGTTAAATTATTTATTTTAATTAGAAAATGAAAATGGAAATTTTTTTTAGAATTTTATTCATTTTTTAAACGAAAAAGATTAATAATTCTTTCCTTTTATTAAATATTATTTAGAAAATAAAAATTTAAAAAAATTATTTTGCCAAAAATATAAAAAATTTTTATATTTTATTAAAAAATATTTATATAAAAATATAAATTTTAATTTATTAAAAAACAATTTTAAAATAATAATACTCCCAATTTTTTCATTTTCTTATCAAAAAATAATTTTAAGTAACAATTAATAAAAAATGAATAAATGATAATTTATTGAGTTTGGTTATAATTTTATTTTAATTTTTAAATTATTTGTTTTATAATTAAAAATCCTAACTTTTAGTATTATTTATTCATTTTTTTAAATTTAATTATTTTATTTTTAAATATTATAAACTTAAATTTAAAACTCACCAAAAAATTTTTTAGCGGGTCTACTAAAATAATTTTAAATTTTGTTTAAAATTAACAATTAAAATTATTAAATTTACTTAATTAATTAAAATAAAATATAGAAAAATTATATAAAAAATATTTTTTATACTAATTTATATTTTATTATTAATCAAAAAGAAAGTAGTTTTCTTTTTCTTTTTTTAATAAATTCTCGAATTTATTTTTCCCTTTCCTTTTTTTAAAAAAAGTATTGATGATATTATCGTTGTCATTTTTATTGTTAACTGAAGGGAACGACAAAACTTTTACGTTTTAATCATAAAAATAAAATTTTAGAAAAAAAGAGAAATTTTACATTTAAATAAATAAATATTTTTTTATATTTTAATCCTATTTTTTATTAATAATTCAAAATATATTTTCGATATTATATCAACCTCTATATAATGTTACTTAACAAATTTAAATTTATTTTATCCATTTTTGTCTTCCTTCTAAAAATTTCAAAACAAAATTTTTTAAATAATTCTTTGTGGAATATTGGAGTAGAAAAACAATTAAAAATGAATTATTTTACTGGAAATGAACACGAAAATATTGGTGTAATTAATTGTAAACATTTTTGTTCAATTAGTAATCCTAATTCTTTATCATGTTGGTAGGTATGTTTTTTAAATAAAAATATATTTTAAATTTAAATTGCCGTATATGCTTGAATAATTACCCACTCTGAAATAATTACCCTCCCTAATAGATTTTAATAAATTATAAAAATATTTTTTAATCACTAAAAATTTTAATAATGAAACATTTTAAGGATAAATTTTTGGGAAAATTTCGAGGGAGTTGTGTGATTCATTTGAAAAATTTTTATATTTAATTATAAATTTATAAATTTTATTGTTTATAAATTTGAATTTTTAAATTTTAATTATAAATTAAAATTTATAAGTTAAAATTTTAAATTTACAATTATAATTTTTAATTTACAAAGGGAAAAATATTTCATATTTTTTGGTTACAGGAATGAAACGTTGCAATTTTATGAGAGTATGTTAATTAATATTCTTAGACAAACAGTTATTGTTGAGGTGTTTATATTTTTGTAAAATTTTTTAATTAAATTTAAAATTAATTAGATAAACAGAGTTTTGTGGATTCATTCCAATCAAAATGAAAAAATAAAAATTTCTGAATTTTTTGGAACGAATGTTGAGAAGTTGGCAAATGATTCTTTATCAAGATTTATGAAATTGCCAAATAAATCCTCTGTTAAAGATGGAAATAATTGGGTAAGGATTGAGGGGGTGAACTAAAAAGATTGATAAATTAAAAATAATATTTTAGAAAAATTCCGAAAATGTATTTGCCCGTATATCTCCAGCAATAGCTAAAAATGTCTTTCATCATGTAAGACACATTAGACTATACAATTATGGATTAGAACTTCCTTTACTTGATTTTAATTGTCCACAAGGATGTGAAAAGTTTGAAAATATTATTTATATATTTAATTAATTAATTAAATAGAAAATTAGAAAGTTGATATTCAATTTTGAATTTAAAAAAAAGGAAAGGAAATTTTAGATGTTTAGGAGAAGGAAAAATCTTTAATGTCTTGAGTCATGATCCTCCGAAAATATTTCAGTAAGATTCCAATTTATTAACTCCACCCATTCTAAATAACATTAAAATTATTTATTCTATTATAGATAGAAGTTTCGTAAATCAGTCAATTTTACAAAAAAAGTTTTATATTAATTATTTATTTTTATTTATTTCAGAGAATGGGATATTTGGAAATGGTTATTTTTTGTTTCTCTTCTAATTACCTTCCTTTTTCTTGTGTTACTTTCAATATTTGTTTTAATTTTGGATATTCGTGAGAGATCTTTATTAGTATTAGAATCTGAGGGACCGATAGAAAATATAAGAATGGTCAGAATAGAAGATGGAAGAGCAATTTTAGATGAAAAAGATTTGAAGAAAAATAAATTTAGAATGCTTGTTGATATTAATTAATTTTAATTAATTAATTAACCCTGTCCAGAAAATTTTTCAAAATTTTTAAATTTTTAGTCTAAATTTTCGGGATAATTCTGAAGATATCGTTCTGAAACAGGTCAGGGTATAGCTCAATCTGAAACTAGTCAAAATTAACGTGAATGGGCTAACGGATGGTTCCATACCTAATAGAAATAATTTTATTTCAATTATACAAAATTGTTAGTTATTATTTATAAATTTAAATATTTATAAATTTATAAATTTAAATAATTCTGATTATTTTTATCATTTAAAAGAATTTCTAAAAAAATAATTTAAAATTCTAAATGAATTTTTAAGAAATAGACAAACAAATCCACGTGGATCATTAAATTTTTAATTCAATATTATAGAATTGATTAAGAATAACTTTGATATGTCATTCACATTGAAAACTTTTTAAAGAATTTTTATTTAAAAAAATAAATGTTTTAATATAAAATTAACGTATTACCTCTAATCCAACAAATATAAACAAAATTTTGATTTCTTAATTTTATCCAATAATTTGTTTGGAAATAAAATGAAAATAATATTTAATTTATTTTATTGTTTTATTTTATTTTATATTTTTAATTCAATTTTATCAACAAATTTATTAGAAAATGGAGTACATAATATTGATATTATACAAAATGGAGATCCTTTGTTTGTTCTTATTTTTTGTTAATTTTTAAAATATCTTTAATTTATTCCTAGGTTCTTTCTCACTTTTCCTGTTTCTTATTTAGGAGAAATTACTCCTCTTTGGAGTAAATTTTTTGAAAATTTTTTGAAAATCCTCAATAACGAAGTGCTCTTTTAAAGTATTATTCACCTTACCTGATATCAAAAACAAGAATACCCTTTTACCTCTAATTTTATAAAACTCAGTAAAGAAATTCTTTTGCACGGAAGTCAAAAATTATTAGATCAATTGGATGCCAGAAGTCAACAAATAATTGATGGAATTCTTTATAATGGAAAAAAATTTATACACAATGTTTACAACTATAGGGATATGATTTATGTTTCAATGATTACTTTAGGTAGATAAAAATAAATTACAGAAAAAAGATATTACTTTCTTGGTGCCAAAAACTATTGAAAG